AAACCTTTTTATATTAATAAGAAATAATGCTGTACAAGCCATATCCAACCCTGTTCCGGGCATGAATGTTCTATAAAAGTGCAGTCATGGAATTGGGGGTTACTTATGACGTCATCAATACTCGGTTGTTTTCACCCTTGGCAACATGCTAGTCTCTAACTCAATCAATTTATGCTTATCTTTGGTTTGTCTTCAGCGTATCCTTATAGCAAAGCAAGGCAACTTAGGTTTCTGAGACCAGAGTTTAGCGGTTCATGGGAAAGAGGTTTGGTCAGTCGAGTGTCCTCCATATGCACTACAGTACATAGCAGGGCAACACATTCAAATTTCAGAATGAGACTCCTATAGCCCTTACCGGCGGTCCTGCGATTCCGGTGCAGAATCCAGTTGTCAAACTCTAAATGCAAGGCTTGAATTTCCCGGCGCTTATTCTTGTATTTCGAAGACATTTTGTAGTGTTTTTGACTTGAATCCTTTTCCTTTCATGAATTATTTTCAAGCTTGTTTTTGAGAGTGGTTTAATATTAATTCGCAATGTATTGCACATATCTACAGCCTAAACCTGTTTGATCAGGCTTAAATATTCACCATTTTCAAGAAATGATAAAATAAATAAACAAGTGTTCCAGTAAGTCGGTGTCTTCGGTGAACGGAACCGAAGTCAAATTTCACCAACAAGATAAATTATACCAAATCAACAAGACAATTGTGCCGGTTACAGCAAATCAGTAATATAAAATCAAAAGTAGCATAAAACGTAGCACTGTTTCATTTTACAATATCATACATCACTAATCAAACACAACTTTGCGCTTTCCTTAATACTATGGGATAAAACGCGAAAATTGTTTGCAATTAAGCCAAAGAATATAACTTCGTTCTCTGCTGTGCTGAGTTTACTACCTTAAAAAAAACAAGCAGAAACTCGACGTTTCGAGCGAAGGGCCTTCGCTCGAAACGTCGAGTTTCTGCTTGTTTTTTTAAGGTAGTAATATAACCACTTAGCACAGCATTTTCACATTGTTACTACCCACACTGATACAGACAGTTTTAGTATAACTTCGTTCTCTGGCTTCGATCTATAGCGTGAAATGAACGCGATAAGCCAAGAAGTTTGCATACACAGCCCAACATCATGGCTAATTTAAAGTGCGCTAAAAACTAGGAAGTGCACTAACAGAAGTTTCCCAGTGAAATATCAACTAGGTTCCAGTTCAGTTCGCGGTCAAATCCAAGATGGCGGCCAATGTGAAATTTCAGGATTTAGCCCCTATTATTTTGGTGTTTCGGCGCCATTTTGACGTAAAATTGGCAATCATGAGGCAAATGCAGAGTGACTTGATTCCATATAAACAGACTGCTTGTGTGTGCATTGCTGTGACATCATAGCGTCGTTTAGGCAAAAAAATATGTGGGTTTCCGGTTTCCTCTTGTAAAAACTTAGGTAGGGTAGGTCGGTTTTAACTTTTTTTTAAAACTTTTTTTTAAAATTTTCCTAACAAACGGACGCCATTTTGTTTAGTCAGTGCTTCCATATCCAAACATAAATTTCCCTAATATTGCCTCAAATTTTCATTTTCCACAAAAGTTTTCCTCTAAGTGGAAACACTTACAAGCGTGATCCAGTGAGCTCCACATATATCTGGAGTAGGAACTTGGTTGCTCAAAGTGAAGCCAGTTTCGTGTTAACCGCGCATACAAAAACAATAGAAAGGGACTGGAACTGACGTCCAAGAGCTCCTTCAATTTCCGCCATCTTGGCAAGGAGTGTGTTGAAATTTCGTATTTTGACTTCGATTTAAAGAATAATATTGTGTTTTTATGAACTGAAAACTTGATTAGTGATACGGTCCATTAGAAAAAACTGGAATTAGCTGGGGAAAATGGTATAAAGACTGTTTACGACCTTCAAAGCTATTGGACGTCAATGGCCGCCATCTTGGCTTCACTTTTCTCATTGACCGAATGACTGAAGTTCTTACTCCAGATATACATAGAGCTCACTGGCGTGATCCAATAAAAAAGTTTAGGGTCGGGATTTTGGCGTCCAAAAGCTAGGTAGGATCGGGAAACCGGAAACCCACATATTTTTTTTTTGCCTTATAGATAACTTCATTTACTTACCGAACAATTATCTTTACAATCACAACAGACCATGAATCCAGGGTCACTTGTTCGTTGAACTTCTGGTGCAAACTGCCTCGTGTACATATACTGAATGTTAGGTGGCCTGCTTCCATCCACTTCGTTCACAGCCTGAAAGAGATTGATGTAAGTGACAAAGTTCATGTATTGTTGCATCTCATTGGACGAGAAAGTATCACGTAATAGTCATGAAATTCGACTCTCTCAGCTCTGAAGAATACATTTATTCACCAGCGATTATATAGAGGATATTAGACGGTTGCGAAGAGATATGGATTTATGTTCGAGTGGCAAAAACAATATATCACGAATGAGTGCAGCGAACGAGTGAGATATTAGTGAGTTTAAGATACCCAGGTTTCGGTGTACGGGTACGAGTAGTGTCATCGTTTTTTTACTAGTTTTTACTGATGTCTGTAATTCGATCATACTTTTTCTGTTTTCTTGCAATAGACAATGATATAATGCGAAAAATGTACACCTTAATCACGAATAAAAATGCAGACATCGACGAAAATATTGCTAACCAAAATCATGCTACCCGCACGCGTAAACCGAAACTGGGGTATCTTAAACTCACTATTGTTTTTGACACGAGAACATAAATCCATATCTTCTCGCAACCATTTAATGTTCTGTTTATTATATGGACTTATTCACAGCGACAAAAATACACACAAAGACGACATGTAAATAAGCACGCGAAAGACCAGTATAAAAGCGATATTTTTTAAAATTATAGTAAACAAACATAAAACTAGAATAAATTTTACTTTTCTCAAGATGTCATTTAAATGTTTATTTCCAACGTTAATTTCGTTTTAAATACGAACCAAAGACCATTTGTATTTTCAAAACAACAGCAATGAAAACGGCGGGAAATTTTCGAACTTCGTATGTTACTAACAGGGGTGAAATACGGAAAATACGCGCACCTGGCCCCGGATGTAGCGACGTATGAGTTCTACGAGTGTTTTAGTTTCCAGTAAAACACCATTGTCCATATAATAAATAGAGGATATTACACGGCGGCGCGAAGATATGACATTTATCTTCGAGTGGTGAAAACAATATTTTACGAACGAGAAGATAAAAGTCATATCTTCAAGCCACCGTGTAATGTTCTGTTTATTATATAGTCTCAAGCAAAAAGTTGTGAAATTTCACGATCAAAAGCAAATTGTCAAATTATCACGTGATCGATATCTTCACTAGTGAAGACAATCTTCACTTGTAAAGATATGGAGAATATCTCACTGTGTATTTTTCAGTATCTCACTCTCTACTATATAATAAAAATCGTTCAGTTGTGGAGCAAAAAACAAAACATACTGTTTCCCGAAAGTCCTAGTCAATAAGTGTTGCTTGTTCATATTAAAAGCATCATGTCAGGCACTAGGGTCAACTATCCACACCCTTCCACGCAATAAAGTCTGAAAGCCTTTACACGATAGCTGATTAACAGTGCAACGCAGTTGTAACATTGATTCTACATCCAAAAAAGCTTGGATATAGTCTATCAATGAAACAAACGAGATATCTTACTGGCAATGGTCGATTCTCTTGTCCATTTGAAATATCTTTAACGACGGCAACCTAAAGACAGAAAAAATTCTTGTCACCTTGAACTTTTGAATACGTTATCTACTTTTGCAATGTCTTTGTATAATCAAATAGTCTATATACAAAGCTTAATCAGAGTGAACTGCAGAATTGCATGCGTATAAGCAGCTGTTTTAGCCTGTTTACTACACTTTGGCCCGCCATACTGCCAAAGAGTATAGGCTCCTCGTCGGCGCCTTTGATATCAGCGCAACTACCCGCCATGTTCCCAGCCAACGCTTGTACTGTGTAAATCAACATACATAGAACTCAAGTTGTAAGCAAGTTGCATGCGACATGATCAGTTTTAGGAAAGGTCGGCATCTTTACCCGTATGGATAGTCACGTGCAACAAGTGTGAGGTCCGCAGTCTACCAAACATGCAGTGAATTGAAGTGTTCACCTGACCAGCCCGCTTGAACCTAACGTACCGAACTACTTAGCGGAAAGCGATTTCGGATGCTTTTTTCAAGGGTGGAATTTTCCAACTTGTATTTGAAGTAAACTGGCGACCTAAATTCACCAGATAAAGTTGCACTTGATACAAAGGCTTGGCAGCTGTTATGCTTCACGCATTTCTGAAAGGCACCACACGCGTTGTTTAACCTCATTTAATCGAACTCCCTGCATTTAGCTACTATTATAAAATCAATAAACATAATGTGCATAAATGATGTTTTACAATAGAAATTTACTTACCGGTGGTACAACATTATCACTCCGCACCCTCCAATCAAATGTAAAATTATCCACGTTCAAACTGCTCTCACCAGTCAATTGGAGATATCTAATGACTTCGCTCATATTTCTGATCCTACGATTACACGGCGTACGGTAATACACGTCGCGTTTGTTAGTCTTGCCGCGTCTTTTCACAATTTCACGCTTCCAATCCATTAATATTGGCACGGCTAGTGGATTGTGCCTGAGCGGGTCAATGGAGATCTTGCTGCTGCTTCGACTGCAGGCAAAACTACAGGTATGCGGAACTGCAACTGAATTATAATAAAGTCCAAATAAGGGGCTGTCGCCGTGTAGTTACTGTACATTTATAGTAAAAACTACTTTGCGCCTATACGGACAACTGGGCTGACATGGTTCCAAATATCTCGTTTTCCCTGTGAGCTATTTTTAACAACTGTCAAAACAATAAACAATTATTTCTGTGTTGGTGTTGTGTACTCAGGTGAATATGATATTTGTGAAGTTACTCTGAGTGTATATCCACACTGGGCGAGCTTGAAAAATATGCCCGGCTACGGTGGGAATCGAACCTACGACCTTTGGAATACTAGCCCAATGCTCTGCCAACTGAGCTACGTGGTCAGGTCGGTTCGAGTAAGTGATATTTCGGAACAGAATCTAGTTCCTTCGATACCAATGTAATCTAGTAATATGATTTTTTCTGTGTTGGTGTTGTGTACTCAGGTGAACATGATATTTGTGATGTTACTCTGATTGTATATCACCGGGCGAGCTTGAAAAATATGCTCGGCCACGGTGGGAATCGAACCTACGACCTTTGGAATACTAGCCCAATAAACAATTATTGAATGAGGTCGAGTAGGATATAAGGAACTAGTAAGGCCGAGGTTTGTGTTATCTAGCAGATAACACAAACCGATGCCTTAATAATTCCTCATATCTAGGCCTGCGAGAACCGAATTCAATAATTGTTTTATTATTTATTTGTTGGACTACACAAAAAAGGTCGGCGAACCTTTTCTTTGACGAAGCCATTTTTATTTTCCTGCTTTTGGTATAAGCCGCATAAGTTAGCTTAACGTCATAGCGTGTTACACCGTTTTTCAATATGCCACGAAATTACGTCAAACGTGGTATATTTGTTTTCAATATTCCACGGTGATGTCATAACTCCAAATTTGGGCAGTTATACCAAGTGAATATGACAATTTCTCCGACGGCTCTTAGAAATGAAATAAAGATCATCGCATTCGGAATGGACTAACTTAGATTTTGAAATGTAACACTGCAATATTGAGCGAGATACAGCCAAAATAAAAATATTTATTATTTAACAAGTATAACTACATCGGTAATTATAAGGTTTGTTTTACGCTAATTTTTGCCATTTTCAAAAACAGTCGTTCATGATTGCGCTATATACAGGGTGTATCAAAATAAACGCAATTCATTTTTTGTGCTTTATAACTTTCGAAATACTATTTCTAGTTAAACGCTTTTAGGCTTACTTCAAAGCCTGTTCTTTTCTCTTTCAAACAAACTATTATCCTTGTCTCCAATGCTAGTAATAATTGCACAGGAAAAGATTTAGTAAAACTTACCATTTTTAGTTGCTGTTTAATTATGCAATTTACTATGTTATTGTTTAGTCAGTTTAAATGTTAGAATTTTCTTCTTTAAACTTTAATATTGTCGTCACTACATCTGGAAAACCACGTACGAACAAATTAAAAGCATTTTAAAAGAGACCAGGTTGTTTGAAAATCCTAAACGAATGCTAAAAATCGTCAAAACATTCTGGTGACTGAGCCAGAGTGTCATCGAATTGCGATGTAATGTAAACAAAAATTATAGCAAGTTGATGTCAGTCAGCTTAGATGGTCCAAGCCAAAATTATATCGCATTTGAAGTTTCAAACTGAGTTAAAAATAGTGGAAGAAAAGCTGTAATTATACTTATTGTTACAATCCATTTTATAAAATGCAACATTTTTTTGTTTTAATGAAAAAATCAGTTATTTTCATGAGAACGATTTGTTATTCCATCTCAATTTTTTTAATCTCCAATCGCAATAACGTAAAGTATTATTAACCGCAAACCAATGAGTCAAATTTAAGAAACAAGCCACTGTTAGAAAGCTGAATGGCTACGCTTTAAAATGAATGTAAACTTTAAAGTTTTCGTCTATTATTTGTTTAGCAATTTAGATTTTAGTCGAGGATTGCGTTTTTTTTATACACCCTGTATATATCAAAATCTAAGTTGGTCCTTTCTGAATGCAATGATCTTTATTTCATTGCGATAGCTTTTATAGCTTTTACGTTACATGAAATCGAACAGTGTCCAGTTTTTTGGGGACACCCGGTATACTATCTACCGGCATCACCCATGCATACATGGATTTTACTTATCATTGTTTAATTCATGATTGAGTCGGTTTTCTTTGATTTACCGAGGTGATTATTTTTAATAGATGAATGCCTTATCAATCTTAAAGACTTATACTGCTTCACATGACAACACATCTTATAATGAATATAATCCATGTAAGGTAAGAACAATTTTGATATTTTCCCCTATGATAAACACCTCGAAAGTCAGGATTTATGTCAGATAATGCCCTCGGACGCTGTACGTCCTCGGGTCATTGTCTGACATAAATCTCTCCTTCAAACACTCATTAATAATTCATAAGCTTATTGGCAAATCATGTCAACCATAATATGACACGTGCAGTAGCTTTAAACCTGATAAAACACTCCTAATTAGTATTCTTTATATAAAGAATACTAATAAGGCAGTATCTATTGTAGTCGTGTCCTCATTAGTAATTCTTTATATAAAGAATACTAATAAGGCAGTATATCTATCGAATTTGTAGTCGTGTTTGAAGCCGTTTAATAAACTCGCAGGTCGTGTTTTATTAGGCCTAAAGCCACTCTCGCTGCGCGCTCGTGGCTTTAAACCTAATAAAACACTCCTGCTCGTTTATTAAACAGTACTTCTCGGTGTTTATCCTTTAGTTAATAATTGAATTCATAAACTATTTCATACCTGAGTGGGATTTGTACAATGTCTCGCGTTTTGGTGAGGAGATTTCATTTGCCACTCTTGCATCCTGTACATGTAAGCTTTTTGCGTCGAGTTTATGTTTCAAAATGCTAGCTGCATCGTGATATCTGTGTGTTGGAACCGCTGTATGGGGTCTTATAACATTATCTGACGAACCTTGGCGCTGCTTATTCCGCTGAATATTCAACCATGGCGCTTTCCATTGATTATCTGGTGTAGGTTTAGGTTTCTTTTCCTCCACAAATGCCCGACTTTTTAAGGTTTCTGAAAATGGTAAAGAGCTCGAGGAAGATTGGGGAGGATGGAATATTGATTGGTATGGCTGATTGTTCTTGATACCAACTGCTTTAAAGATCACGTTGTTCACTGAAGCATAACAAAAGTACAGCAAAAAGTTAATTCAAAGAACTGAATGGATACTAGTTAAATATGAATCTCAAACTGCATTAATAATTCATGAGTAAATTAGCCAACCATACTGCCTTGTTTTGCTCACACGAGAATACTGGATACCTGATCAAGTATATTGATCCTGTCCTAGGACTGGATCAAAATGAATTAAGTAGTGATTTATTCGTATGAGATGTCATTTCAAATCCTCCAATAGACCTTTCCCCTTTTAAGTGAAATTTTGATCTAGACAAGCCTGGACAAAAATTTCATCACAGCTTGAAAGAGCATCACAAAATTAGTAATATTCCGAAGTTTCGTTGCAAAATGTAAGGTTGTAAAATGCCGATAATATAGCCTTGCGAAGTTTGCCGTTTTTCAGTCATTTTGCATTACAAACGGGAAATTGATAATCAGATGATCAAACTGACTATCAATTTCCCATTTGTAATCAAAATGACTGAAAAACGGCAAACTTCGCAAGGCTATATTATCCGCATTTAACAACATTTCGCAACGAAACTTCGAAATATTACTAATTTTGTGATGCTCTTTCAAGCTGTGATGAAATTTTTGTCCAGGCTTGTCTAGATCAAAATTTCACTTAAAAGGGGAAAGGTCTATTCGGACTGGACAAGATTTCAAGTTCTCGCATTTTGATGCAAATTGCGCGGACTTAAATCTCGTCCAGTCCGCATAGTCGGATTTGAAATATTACGTCAAACTCGCGTATATCTCGAACTTCACATAATCTATACTCCAAAAATTCCTAAAGTATTTCGAGTAAAACAATGCGTGCGCCTAGAGGTGGAAAATCGGAACCTGAAATTTTTTTGGATTTACATTTTTGGCGAAATTTGAACATATTTTGATGTTTGATAGATACTTTTGAAAATTACACTAATTGAATATATCAAGATTATTGAAATCATTGAATACTTAATTATTTCCTCACCCAATACCTAAATTACAGCGGAACAGTTTAGAACAAAAATATTCATATAGCCTGCATGCAGTAGTACTTTGTTTTTAATCTTGTATGACTGTAACTGCTATGACTACTTCACGATTGATCTTGTATGCCAATTATCAGTCTTAAAGACTTACTGCTTCACACGACAATAAACAATTATTGGATGAGGCTGAGCATGATATCAAGAATTATTCAGAGGTCTGAATAATTCTACCGAGATCTGAATAATTCTTGATATCATGCTCAGCCTCATCCAGTAAAGCTAATTCTTGATATCATACATCCAAGCACGTTTTTGAGTGAAAGATACCCATGCAGGGTATTTGAAGTGCTATTTCAATCATTTTTACTCGGTTAACTGGAACTCCCTTTACTTCGCATGAACGAAATCTAGCCGCTTATCTTGAACTCAAATGATTTTAAGCAGCCATACCCAAACTAGCTCCAGTCTTTTTCCTCAAAGTGCTCGCTTGGATACAGGAATAAGTACTTTCGATCACACGCTTGTCATCAAGTATTACAACCTCTAGAAATAAAAAATGAAATGTATACATTATAATGATAGAAATCAACTAAATACCTTATTATAGGAAATTAACGATGCACTTTATTAACGCGACATAAATTAACGCGACATCAAATTATCGCGGGTTGCTTCTAGGTATTTTAAAACATGATTATATTAACGCGAATCTGATCTCCATGGTTGACAAATTAATTAAATTAACGCGAATCAGAAAATATAGACACAACAACAACAAAGGTGTTAAGAGGAGCACTGATGTTTTTAGTTTACGTTAATATGCTGTATTTTGATATTAAAAGAGTTAGTGTTATATAAAACAAATCTAGGTATTTTTAACTAACGATAAATGAAATTACATACTTAAAATTAACGATCACATAAATTAACATTAATTAAATTAACGCGAATTTTTAAAATCCGCGTTAATAAAGTACATCGTTAATTTCCTATAATAAGGTAATGGCTGCATTCTATTTTAAGAGTATCAGGGCGCGAAATACCGGCTGGGGTCGCTGGTCAAGGTGACTGGCCAACTCAATTTTAGCTCGGACATACCGAATTTCTGGCCGGTCAAATTATTCAGCTTAAAGCAAAGCCTAGTAAAGTATACCCCTAAAAATGTGACGAAAAGCCTTACTGTACTCAGTAATTAAATAAAAACTCCTTCACATAAAACCGCTTGCACTGCGCTAAGCCAAAAGCATGGCCATGGGCTTTGTGAGGTACTGCGTGGGAAAGCTGGAGTACATTGAAGTTCTTTTCCCGCAAAACATTCGACAACATGTTATGGTTCATAATTATAATACCTTGACAATTTTATCTTGATTAATTCATATGAAAATTAGTTTGTTCTTTTACCGAAAGTGACGGGTTAAAATGACCGGCAAGGTAAGAATTTGATCGGACAATATCGCATTCTGGCAGGACATTGTCCGTTGACCGGCCGTTATTTCGCGCACTGAGTATATCGAAAAGGAAGACATTTAGCTTTGTGTATGTTTTAATGTGTAATTGTTGAGGAAATTACTATAACGTTTAGAAAGGTTTAATTAAACATTTCCATATATGCAAGAAAAACGCTTAACTAGAAAACATCAAGATTTGTTGGCATTTCACTCGATTGAATAATACTTTGGTACCCTTCTGCATCGTTTCCAAGGAACTCAGTTATACATACTTCCTGAAATAAATACCTTTACTTCCCATTTCAGTTGACGACAATGGTTTTCTGTCTTCTATGGATGGAGGCCGTGGTTTAACCTCTTCCACTTTTACAGGTTTTTCTTCCGGCTTCGGCACAGGCTTCTCTTCGTGTTTGGGCGATGGTAATCTCGAGTCTTGTATTGAAAATTTCAAACCCTAGGAAGACAAAGACAGTGTATAGAAAGAAAGAAAGAAAGAAAGAAAGAAAGAAAGAAAGAAAGAAAGAAAGATTTATTATGCACATGATATTAGTATTTACAAGATATTTGCTGAAATGATAGAACTTAGGAATTATTACATGATGATGTATTATAAACTTAGATTGGATGTGCGCAGTAGCCAAAGTAGCGTGAGCTTTCGAGTTGGCTACTGCATGTTAATAATATTACATGGAATATAAAGGAAAGTAGAAGATCGTTATGGCAAAGTAAACATATTAATATTTAGCTTCTAATTCATAATTTGACAAGTAGGTTAAGACTATATCAGGCAGGATAGGAGGGACTGTTTGTACTGTGTTTTAAAGGCTTCAATATTTAAATGTTTTAAATAAGGTGGAATACAATTCCACAGCTTCGAGATAATAAATTTGATGGTGGATTGACCATAATTAGTTCTTACTTTTGGCCGATAGAAATTGCCACTGGCAGACAGTCTAGTATTATAGCTGTGAATATCAGATATTGGTATAAGGTAATCATGAAATATGTATGGCAAATTCGATGAATCACTTGACAGTTTTTTTTTTGCAAATGTAGCAATTTTAAATTTCACAATATTGTCAAAATTGAGTATTCCAAGACGTTTATAGTAAGTAGTTGCTGACTCCATATGATTTGCGAAGAAAATACTACGTATACATTTGTTTTGTTTAGTACGAATCTTGGTTAAATTGGTTGTATACGCGCTACCCCAGCTCATAATACCATAAGTTAAATAAATAAGGGTAAATAAGGTTATAGTAAAGTTGCTTTAATATGCAAATGTTAGATAAATGACGCAATTTATAAAAAATGCCAATATTTTTGGCTAATTTACTATTAACATGAGCAATTTGGCTTTTCCAATTGAGATGTTCATCGAGATATATACCAAGATACTTAATATACAGTTTTTGCGTTCGATATTAGGAATGTTGATATTAATGTGCTTTTTGTTACTTGAAGTTATCACCATAAAATTGGTCTTGTTCATATTAATAGATAATTTATTGAGAGCACAGTAGTCATAGAATTTTTTTAGCTCACGATTTATTACTATTTCAAGTTCAATGGGGTCTTTATTTACATAAAATATGTTAGTATCATCAGCAAATAGACGAAAAGAAAGTACTGATGAACAATTAACTATATCATTAATATAAATTAAAAATAATAAAGGCCCCAGTGTAGATCCTTGAGGAACTCCACATGTCATTGTTAAAGTGCTAGATTGTACGTTCTCTATTTGTACAAATTGAAGTCTATTTGTTAAGTAGCTGTTAAACCATTCAAGTGAATGACCACGTATTCCATATTTAAATAATTTAGCTAATAATATTTCATGGTTGACCGTATCGAAAGCTTTAGAAAAGCCAATGAAAACCCCGCATGTAATAAGATTATTATCAATGGAAGTTTTCAGGTTCTCAGTTATTTCTAAAATAGCTTGTTCCGTTGAGTGTCCTTGTTGCATACTTGTTGAGTATGCTATATTTCTCTAAAAAAGTCATATGCTGGTCATATACAATTCGCTCAAGCGTCTTCCCAAAGGGTGATAGCAAAGCTATTGGCCTATAATTATTTGGGTCTGTCTTTATCCCACTCTTATAGACTGGCGTTACTCTAGATATTTTGAAAGCATTGGGAAAAATTCCAGTAGAAATAGATTGGTTAAAAATATGAGCAAAAGGCACTGATAGAGCACTACTAGCCAGCTTTATCATTTTGTTAGGAATATCTGGAGAAGACTTATTCACATTTAGTTCCGAGAAAAGTCGACAAACGTATTCCTCAGAGACAGGTGACATGCAAAAACTTGAAATTGGTGAGTTAGTTACGTATTTGGTGGGATCATTAGAATTTGGGATTGAATTAGCCAATTTGGAACCCTAAAATGCTGACTAAATTGCTCAGCAATGTCGAACTGATTAATATATGTTTTCTCATTCCTAACAATTCTAGTTGGACAAGTATGACCTTTATTTTTCCTATTAATCAATGTGCCTATCAATTTCCAAGTGCTTTTTAGATTGTTTTTACATTGATGGAACTGCTGATTATAATATTCATTTTTAGTTTTAGTTTTTAATTTATTCAATACATTGGAATAGGATTTATATATAGAAACTCTCAACGGATCTCTACTTAAAAAGTGTGAGCGGTAAAGCTTTTGTTTTACTTTAATGGATTTAATGAGACCTTTTGAAAGCCAAGGTTTTGATAATTGTTTCATCCTATTACGCATCCTATAATACTAGAAAAAATAGTGAAATTCATACTATGGAATTTGCAATCGCATCCCTAAGTCAATAGTATACCCATACTATATCCATAGTGTAGAAATTGCAATTAGTATGAACATTGCTATTTCCATAGTAAGGATTTTCAAAACAAATTCCAGTGTAACCTTACAGTGATAGGAGACCTTTCACTTCCAGGAGACTTTTCACTTCCTTAGAACATAATGTACTAGTTGACCATGGTTTAAATTCAAGGAAATGTGTCTGTCAACCATAAGTTGTTGGAAAGTTGCAGAACTTCTGCTGGTATTTTTCAGTTGTTGGGCCCATGCATAGTAGAACATGCATGCGTGGTAGGGTTTCTATCGAATTTTTAAGTTGCAAATCTTTAACCTAACAAATTTCCTGCAGCTGTTTAACATTTCCAGCGAGCGGTGCTCGTGTGCTTCAATATTTTTTCCATCCCTCCCCGAACCATGACTTTTGTGTCCTCTAAATCAAGAACTACACTGGCTCAAAATACTAGCGTTATCTATAGGATAGACAATGATCAAGTGTGTTCAGTTGGATATAAACTCCCTCGAATTAGTTAGATGGCAACAAGGGCCAATCACATCCACGAAGAATCTTCTTCGCAGCGAGTTTATCGAACTGATTAGTATGCTCCATATCTGATTATAGTATGCTATCTATTGAGAGTACTAATTCATAAGGCTTGGTTTATCCTTTGTTGAATACTTCATTAGTATGCTCTATATAGGGAGTACTAATGAATCACATAAACTCGCTGTAATTGCTATGAAGCTCGCTATCGGACGGTTTATGGGATATATAGACAGCTGAAATACTGAGTTCTGATTGGCTGCGATCATGTTCTATAAGTACTTGTTAAATATGAACAGCTGATCTTTATGGGCATTTATAATGGCGGTTGATATGAGAAGTTGATATGAGACAAATGGTTGGCAGTGAGAAGGCGATTATTTTAACGAACTTGTAAAATGAATCTATTTGTTTACTTTATTAGTATTCACTACCCATGGGGACAATCTGACGCCTCATTAGCATGCATTTACAGCGTAAATCTTGTGATGCGTGCCTTTTGATTCTAATACATCGTCCTGCTTCTGAATTAATATATTCATAACATTCATATAAACATCACTTTGACACGACTTCCTGATCTTTACTGCGATTTATATACAGAGTCGTGATTTGTTTGTAGCCTTATTAATTATTCATGAATTTTACAAGTAATAGATAAAGCATGAGCAGCCGTGTTGTATACAAACAATGTCTGATACAACATAGACGCGAATGCTTTATATGGCTTGTGAAACGGATCGGTGAGAACATTCGTATTCTTCATCAATTTAAACTAAATGAATGATATCTGGTGGGAAAATTAAACGTAAAGTTTATGTAAATCAGCATGATTCTGTATCTGATATACAAACTCCTTCACGCTCATGATTTCTTTTGTGTTTTCTTCATAAATTATTAAGTTTCACAAATACAATTAGAAATGCACATATAAGCAGAAATTTCAGCTTGTGGCAACAGTTTATCCCAACGCCTGGTGCAAAGATATAAAATTTAAGCGAAATACATACGCCACGTAGATCTTAATACAAACCTCATGTTGTTTTTGTGTCAGCTGCCGTTGTTCTTCTAATTGCGATTGTTGGATTCCTAAAAGAGTAGAATTGATATAGACCTTTCCCCATAGGTGGTGTGCAAGTTACGTCACCGTCACCATGTTGGATGACATTGACAAAGGATTTTGCTATGTTTGCAATGCAAATATCATCAATTCAAACATGGTGAAAATTTCTGTCCTTGGAATCCCATGGGAGTGGTTGCACATCACCGATTTCAAGCTATTGTATCCAACTATTACACTAATGCATATGAGCGGCCAATTTCTAAAATAAACACTCCAGTGACTCCCCAAAGAGAAAGCCCCCCCCCCCCCAATATATCAGCATACGTTCTAACAAATAGGTCCCCAATAATCACACCTAACACTATAATTAGACCTATGGAAATTTGTTTAATGTTGCGTGAAGAATGCTTTTCAAAACAATATTTGGGGTTTTGCGAGGATTGTAGGATTGTAATTTTGCAATCCCACGCCTAGCAATTCAGTTGATGTTTAAGATGATAATTGTACGTTTATATCTCCACAATTAAAAAAAAAATCGAAGTTGAGTATTTACCAATCCTCTGTATCACATATTGATCAACTCCTAAATTTGTACAATAAAACCAGCGTATAGCACATACCTTTAGGATCCGTTTTGCTATATGGTGAAACGCCGTAACAAGGTTTTGTAATGTTGTACTCAATATAAGGTGCATTATCTTTCGACGAAGTGTTTCTAGTCAACTTTCTTGATCTTGCTTTTGTCGATCGGGTCCTTTCACCCATTACCTAAACAAAAAAACATGATCTAGTAACCTGACTGCAACATAAGTGTCTAAAGCAGCAGCAGCAACAATGACAACAACAACAACAACAACAACAACAACAACAACAACAACAACAACAACAACAACAACAACAACAACAACAACAACAACAACAACAACA